TGTCACTTTCACCCTTTTTTGGGACCATCCTAAACAATGTTTCAATAGACACACTCGTTTTCTCATCTAATCCTCACGAGACCCCTCTGAGGTGAAGGTCTGTTCTGAGACTCATGGCGCAGTGACAGGCCTGGGCATGCCCTGATGGTCCATGTTCTTTCTTCTGTACCACAAATATCACATGCTCTTTCTTCTGCACCAGAAATATCACTCCCCAGGACTGTCCACAGTGTGTGGAAATCCCACCTTCAGGGATGTATATTAGTTTCCTAGGGTTGCTAACAAATTACCACAAACTGGGTGGCTTAAGAGAGTGCAAGTTTATCCTCTCCCAGTTCTGGAAGCCAGAAATCCAAACTCAAGGTGTCAGCAGGGCCACGCTCCTTCTGGAGGCTCTAGGGAAGGGTCTTTTCTTGTCTCCTCCCAGCATCTGCTAGTTGCCGGCAACCCTCAGCCATCCTTGGCTTGTAGAAGCCTCACTCGGTCTCTGCCTCTATCATCACATCATGTTTTCCCGGTGTAGCTCTATGTCCAAACTTCCCTCTTTGGAGAAGGACACCAGTCCTTGCATTAGGACTTGCACTAATCCAGTATGACCTCATCCTTAACTTGATTCCATCTGCAAAGACCCTTTTGCAAGGGTCACATACACAAGTTCCAGATGGACATGAATTTTGACAACCCCGCACAAGGGGGATGTTCTTTTGAGTCCAGATGTGATTTCTTGAATACTCACATTCCAGTTCTAAAGTACAAATGGCTTGTTTGTCAAGAGCTAATATGTCCAGCACCACGTGAATGTGGATGACAGGGTGTGCACGTTGCTGGGACTGGAATGTTAACAGGCACCTTGAGATCAACCCAGACTCTTGACTCCCTCCCCACTGAGCTCACACCAGTCACCAATCACTGTGTTTGGGTCCCCTATCCTCACTGTCTCTTCTTCAAAGGTTGGGCCACTGAATTCCTCACCTGAGGAGCAGGAACACCCTCTGGGAGGAATTTCTTCACCTCTAGTCTCGCCCTCCTCTAATCCATCCTCTGACCTTCAATCCCAGTGATCTTTCTGAGTTAAAATTAAGATCATGAAAAGCCTGTTCACTGCCTTCAGGGCACAGTCCAAGCCTGTTGGCCAGCACACAGGCCCTTCGTGGCCAGCAGATTGCTTCCCAAGTAACCTCAGCTCTTACCCTACCCCCAGAACCTTGTGTTCCGTACTCCATGCCATTCCCAGAACCAACATGCCCTCCCACACCTCCTTGGCTTTCTGTACTCTGCGCCCTATCTAAAAGCTCTTTCCCTCCCTCCTTCACATGGTGTAGTGAGTTGAATGATGAACACCAGAAAGAGATGTCCATGTGCTGACTTCCAGAATGTAAGAATGTGACATATTTGGAAAAAGGGTCTTCGCAGCTATAATCAACTTAGAGTTCTCAAGACAAGATCATTCTGGATTACCTGGGAGGCCCTAAATCCAATGACAGGAGTCCTTATACGAGAAAGGCAGAGGCAGATTTGACACAGAGACACACAGAAGGGAAGCCCATGTGACGACAGAGGCAGAGAATGGATGATGCAGCCTCAAGCCAGAGAATGCCTGGAGCCCCCAGAACCTGGAAGAAGCGAGGAAGGATTCTCTCCTAGAGACTTCAGAAGGAATGTGGCCCTATCAACACCTTAATTTTGGACTTCTCACCTCTAGAACCCCGAGGGAATAAATTCCTGTTCTTTTAAGCCATGCAGTTTGTGGTAATTTGTTACGGCAGCCCCAGGAAATGAATATTCATGGATTCTCCCCATGGATATGGAAGGCTCTGCCGGCTGCTGATATCACAAGGCCACCTAGCTGAGAGGGTGAGTAGGAACCACATCCAGCTTACACTCAGCCTGCCAAGCTGTGCGCTCAGCATGAAACTGCCTCTTGCCCGAAGGAGTGCTCTTCTCTTATTCACACAAAGGCACCTGATGGGCCAGCAGCAGCCCTAATTCCTGGGTGTTGTTCAAGGTTCTCTTCCTGGGTTGGTCCTCCAGGAAGCCTTCCCTGCCTCACACACCCTCCCTCAGACTAGTTTGGACACTTCACCTGCTCCAGGAGCACCTAATCGTACATGTATCCTGCTGTAAAACAATTGTCTGTTCCCATTTCTGTCCCCTCCTCTGCACCTTGGAAGCAAGGACTATTCTTATCCTTCCCTTTCCCCTATACCTAGCACTTAATAGACGTTCAAAAGAGGCCTACTGAATGAATGGGCATGAGCACACAATGGGGCTTTAGCAAGCTTGAGGCAGCGAGAAGGAGCCATCAGCAGGGGCAGAGGTGGGGTGCTATTCCCAAAGGGGGGCTGGATATGGGCAATTTTATGCACATCACAATTTTGCCTAAACTAGCCATCAAAGAAAACCAAAAAATAGACTTAAATAGAGAGCATCACCAAGACATTAATGTTTTACAGATGCCATATCTGATATTGTGTCTTTATCTTTTCCCTAATTGAGGCATCAGTGCCTAAGGATGTTTCCATTTGGGCCAAGCACGTGTTCCACACATCCAATGGGAGGCAGTTCACTGCATTCCATGCAGATACACACATGAGCTCATACAAGTCCCAGGGTGCTCATCTGGTCCAGATTTGAAGGAAACTATGTAGCTGGATGGAGAAAAACACATCATGTATCAACTTAATACCAAACAGATTTTATGACATACTGAAACTTCTTTTGATAATCAACTAATATATCAGAAGGGCTAATGAACCAAAAAAGTACCAGCTAATCATTGTATCTTTGAGGTCTGGACAATGTTTGTGTGCGCTGCAGGGATGACAGAAAGGCAAAAAGATGCAGGGAGCTTTAGGGAAATTTATCCAAAAGGACTCCTGAGAGGCAGTATGTCTGTTGTAGCAAGAGGTATATTTTGCCAATTTATGAGCATAAGCAATTTTTTTTTTTTTCTGGCGGAAAGTCAGATTGGACTTTTCCAGAGATAAAGAAGGACAATGGCTTGGTCATTCTCATCCCTGCTAGGCATGAGCACCATGGATGCTACTGAGGAAGGAGTCAATTCTTGGTTGTCTTGTTTGGGAATATCTCAACCCATTGTTAAAATTGGTGTGAATAGGCGCCCCCCCCCCCCCAAACTATCACTTCACATAAAATAAAAAATTGGGAACATGGGATTAAAATGATAAATTAGCTAAGAACTTTTGGCTGCTAGCGAAAATCACTTGTGGTTGGAATAAGAAACAAGGCAATTGTAAAGAAGGATATTGGCGAGATTAATCCAATTTAATGGAGAGTTAATGCATCTTGGGAAAGGTAAGGACTGAGACAGCTCAGGATCCTCAGCAGCAGGAGTTGCCATTCATGAGACAGCTTCAAGTTCTGAGTGAACAATTCTAGGAGGACTGAAACTGGTTGACCCAGTTTGGGATTGGATTGAATTAGAATGGATTACTTAACTAAGGGCAGGGGGAGGTGGTCCTCATGCAAAGTGATCTCTTAGAAGCCAGTGAATGCTCCAATTGGGGCCGACCATAAATACCTACTAACAGGGCGCCTGGGTGGCTCAGTCAGTTAAGCATCTGCCTTCAGCTCAGGTCATGATCCCAGGGTCCTGGGATGGAGTCCCACATTGGGCTCCCTGCTCAGGAGGGAGTCTGCTTCTCCCTCTGACCCTCCCCCCTCTCATGCTCTCTGTCTCTCATTCTCTTTCTTGCAAATAAATAAAATCTTAAAAAAAAAAATACCTACTAACATGTTGGGAGGGTTTTAGGGCACGTGGGGATTTAATACAAGGTTTTTCCTTGCTCACTTTCTTTAGTACAGGATTTCCAGCTTGGTGTCAGGGAGAATGTAGTCCTGTCCCCTGGGATGGGGGATGGCCTTTGGAATCTGTAGAATTCTGTTGGACTGTCTCAATATCTGGGGAGGGATGGGAAGGAGAGGGGAGCACTACTGACCCTCAGAAGGCAGGGACCCAGGGAGCTCACCTTCTTGCAATAGCCCCACTGAGAAGCACTGCATTAAAGTAATTCCATTCCATTCCTGGCTGAATCTGTATGTAACTCGCTTCATTATGGTATAAGCAGAAAGGACATTACTGTTTGTATTTGCTTTTGTTTTGATTTAGGTTGCTATTTGGAGGTGTTTTTATTTTATCATATTATATTTTTTACATAACCAAGCCATTTTGTTGGCATTATGTAAATAGACTTATCTTCTAAAATGTAAGAGAGGAGTGGAGGACATTTTTCAGAGGAAAACCATCCTTTCAGATGCCCTACTCACACCAGGAACTCCAGAAGAAGGTCCTCTCTATTTGATCTCCTAGAGGAGATATTATAATGAGATTCTCAGTTATTAGCCAAGGCCACATGTCAAAGGCAGCAGAGCTTCAGTTCCTCATGCACATAAAGAAAAAGGAGGAATTTGAGACAAAAGACTAACATAGAGTTTTTTCCTATTACTGGAGAGGAGCAGTAATAGAGCCTTTGTAACAAAGGAATCACGTGATCCTTTTAAAAATAAGAGTGAATTCAGAAGTCAGGACTCTCTGTGCAGGAAGCTTCAGGGAAATGCAAGGAATTTTTTAAAAGGAAGAAGTTCTCAGAATAGGGCTGTAGGAAAATGTCTCCTGACAACTGGGGCAGCCATATTGGCGAGGGGCAAACGTGATTAACTTCATTTTATTTTCATACAGGAAACCATAGGGATAGCCAAGAAACAAGCTCACTATTTCTGGTTATTGGCTGGTTCTAGCTCTTAGGGGACACTCCCTTCCTCAGTCAGAGAGCTGTTTTTATGGCAAGGGACTCACATGCTTTTTCATTGCTACATTTTTCTTTGAATCATGGTTGGCAATTAGGCATTCAAATTGACTATATACCTTTGGGATTCTTCTGGGTATGAAAAGAATTCCCCCATCTGTTTTGTTCAGGATGTGGGCAGATGAAGAAGTAGTAACCACTGATAGATATTGACTCTATTTGACTGGTGTTGGGAAAGAACCTTTGCAATCAGCCAAGGAGATATTCACCAGTGCTAAGAGGTGGAAAATAGAACTATATCTTTGGATCTCACCTACTTCTGCAACTGTCCCCAGGTCAGAGGGAGTTGGGGTGGGTGGGTGGAGAGTGGGGTGGGAAATCCCACCTTTCAAAGGTTAAAGACAGTCTGTGACTTAAACAGAGAATTAGGGAAATTGGTGGGAAAAAAAAAAGGAAGATTGTGCCATAAAGTGAAAAGAGAAAAAAGAAGGAATTCAAGTCAACAAATATTTATGAGGCATTAGGTGCTGTGCTAGATGAATCATCCTCATAATAACAATTGTAAGAGCGGGTCATGCTTGCTATCCTCTTTCCAAGTTCCAGGCACTGGTTTTTGTTTTTGCTTTTGTTTTTTATTGAAGTATAGTTAACATACAGTGTTATATTAGTTTCAGGTGTACAATGTAATGATTCAACAATTCTATACATTACTCAGTGCTCATCATTTTAAGTGTACTCTTAATCCCCTCGCCCACCTCCCATCTGGCACTGCTTTAAGTATATTATATGTATTAACTCATTTAATCTTCATAACAAATCTATAATATTTATGCCTGTTAATATGATCCCCACTTTAAGAATGCAGAAACAAGGCACCAAAAGGCTAAGTACCTTCCCAGAATTATCCAGGTAATAAATACTAGAGCTGGGATATACACTCAGTAAGTCTTCAGAGACTGGGCTATAAATCACTATATTATAGTGTCTCTTTTTTTTCTTTAAGATTTTATTTATTTGCGAGAGAGAGAATGAGAGACAGAGAGCATGAGAGGGGGGAGGGTCAGAGGGAGAAGCAGACTCCCTGCTGAGCAGGGAGCCCGATGTGGGACTCGATCCCGGGACTCCAGGATCATGACCTGAGCCGAAGGCAGTTGCTTAACCAACTGAGCCACCCAGCAGCCCTATTATAGTGTCTCTTAAGACATAATTTCTTTTCTCAAGAAGGCTACAGGGAGATAGAGTCATCAACAGGTAATGCCAGTATTATTTGAACAGAAGATGATGGGTAGATGTGGGGTGTTTGGGATGCCCATAGTCCAGTCCTGGGGACAGAGGTGGCTTCTACCAGAATCTTGAGGAGTGGATAGGAATAAGTTAGGGAGACAAAGAGGCAGAGGGAAACCAACCAAAACAACAGGAATAAAAAGGGTGTCTAAGGAGAAACAAGCAGTTTGGGGGTAGGAGTAGTATAAAGTATGAGGAGGAAGATAGGTGAGCTACAGTTGGGAGCTTAACATGTTAAAGGCACACAAATCTTCATTTGTTGAATGAACACATGAGAGTCCAGCCAAACATGGCTCTGTGGGCCAAGTTAAGGAGTTGGGTGGCCATAGGGGGGAGTTTAAGCAAAGGAGTACTATGATATTAGACCACTTTAGCAACACTGTTAAAGATATGTATCTGTATATAATTATTATTATTATTGGCTAGGAGAATGGCAATTTTAACTACTTTTCTTATAGTTCTTTATAGGGAGGCCTTATGTCAGAAACTGGTTAGAAAGTGGCCAAAAACGTTTGTCTTGAAGTTACACTTTTCTTTTTACTAAAAGTCAGTCTACTGGCCCAAAAGTGGTATTTTCTTAGTTTTTACCTTCCACAAATTAAACCATGACATCATCAGCCTAATTAATTTTAACTGATGCCTGGCTAGGGTTCTTCTCTTTCCTCTTTCATTCCTTTTTTTTAAAATTATTTCTTCCTTAATTCCTTTCTTCCTCCTCTTTCTACTTTTATCTTACTTATTTCATCAAGTGGCCAAATTGACGTGAAACCACACCTCAACTTGACCACAAGGTTATAATGGAGACATGAAAACCAGAAAGAGGCTATTACAACATGCCAAGCAAGAGAGTATGCTGAGGGCCTAAACTGGAATAATATTAGAAATAGAGAAGAGGGGGCATATTTGAGAAAGAGCGAAGGGCTAAAATTGGTCAGCTGTGCATGCATGGGAGCTGGGATGGTAATAGAACTAGAGGGACCGGGATGAATTCTGGTTTCTGGCCTGGATGGCTGTCATTTACTAAAATAAAGCACATAGGATGACACACATGTCCAGGAGGGAAGATGATGAGTTTAGTTGCAGGCATATGGATTTGAGGTACATGTGGAAACATCCAACAGGAGGCAGATGCATCTGAAATAAAGGGAATGATGATAAAATTGGGAAAGTAAATTCAGTACTTATGGCCTAGAGGCTGTAATAACTAGTTTCAAAGGTGACCGCCATCAATGTCTTCTCTTGGGTAATGCACACGCCACTCCCCCACCCACAGGAGGACTCTGTGTCCCTTCCCTGGAAACTCATATGGACTTGTAAATGTTCTGACCAACAAATGCTGGAAAAGAGACATTCTGGGACTTCTGAGTTCAAGCCTTAAGAAGACAAGTAATCTTTAGTTATTTCCTCTTGGATCATGGAATGCAGCTGCCATGCTATGAGGAAGCCCAAACTCTAAACTCACAGAATCGTGATAATGAATGGTTATGAATGGTTATTGTTGCTGTTTTAAGCCACTAGTTTTTTAAAAACTTTTTAATACATGGCACTAGGAAGATAAATTGGTACCTGAAAGAGTGTAGTGCTATTTATAACAAAAACCTAATTTTATATTTATAAATGTCATATATACATATATATGACATTGGCTTTAAAAGCTAGCAGCAGGTAAAAGCTGGGGGCTTTGAAAAGACATACAGACTGAAAAGGCAGTAAGGAAATTGATATTGAAGATTTGAGAATAAAAGACATGCATTAGGGATTGGCAGAATTATTTAGTGAAATGTTGCCTACAGTAACATGAAAAGTAGACTGCCTGATTAATGATGGCTGGCTAAGATTTCCAGGCAGAGTGATGGCTTCCTTTAGGTGCCAAAGATAAAGCACAAGAGCAATGAGATGAGATTAAGAAGGAACTGTTTAGCTTTCAAGCAGAATTTAGAGGCAGTATTTCTGATGTAAAACCTGCTTGATGGAAAATTAAAACAATTTTGTATTTGCAGCTTTTTGGGAAAACAAGAGATCCTCAGGGTAAGAAAAAGCCACAGGGAGGGGTGCCTGGTTGGCTCAGTTGGGGGTGTGTGTGAGACTCTTGATCTCAGGGTTGTGAGTTCAAGCCCCACGTTGGGTATAGAGATTACTTATTTTATTTTATTTTATTTTAAAGATTTTATTTATTTACTGCGGAGAGAGAGAGAGCACATGTGAGAGAGTGAGGATGAGTTGGGGGCGGGGGGAGGGCAGAAGGAGAGGGAAAAGCAGACTCCCCACTCAGCGGGGAGCTTGACAAGCGGCTGGATCCCAGGACCGGGATCATGACCTGAGCCAAAGGCAGACCCTTAACCAACTGAGCCACCCAGGTGCCCCTGTAGAGATTACTTTAAAAAAAGAGGGGGGAGGGTAATAAAAAAAAAGAAAGAAAGAAATAGGCACAGGGAAAAATCAAATCCAGAAGCTTCTAAGAAAACATAGCCTTTGGTAAAGATCAGAGCAAGGGTGTGGTAGTAAGACCCTTTGTTGACACCTCAGAAAGATTTAAGGTAGCGCCTCAGAAGCTTCTCAACTAGATAAAAGAGCTTTGTCATGGAGAACTTCCTAGCCTTTCTGCCAGATGATAGGACTTCTGAGAACCTTAAAGATTTTTGCCCCATGGCACACTGACTTTGAGGATCCTATCTCAAGGAGATTTGTGGGTATGAATTATAATTTAATACACTGGGAGCCTACAACGTTTTAAAAAGGAATTATGTCAGTTTAAATTCAACAAGCAGGGCTTGGGAAACTATTAATCAGAAGAGAAATGTTTCACTGGAGAATGAAAATGCACGATGTTTAGGTTACAGATCTGGAATGTGGTAAAGGATGGATCATGGGAAATGAAAAGAGATCCCTGGACCCTAAACTTCCTATGAGCAGGAAGCAGACTGAGAAAGCTCCTCAGTGGCAAACAGAGGGTATTTCCTCTAGGAAAAGAAGGGCAACTCAGAAGGTGAAGCCAAGATTCCAAAGGGAGGAGCCAAAAGCCATGGAAAACCACTCACAAGGAGCAGAAATAAACTCTTAATCAAGGAAGATTCTCTCCCCCTGGAGTCAGAGGAAAATGACCACATGGGCTCAGCTGAATTTCAGAACTGCTAAGGACAGTGGTGTCAATGTGCCTCCTGTTCTTTTTCTTTTTTGAGTGGGAACATCCATTGTTTTATTCTGTCTCCTTTTGACAATTGTATGTCACTGTAAGATGGCTTGCTATTATGTCTCATAAATCTCCACACCCAAAACACCATGGCTGAAGCAGACCAGCAAATCAGGTATAAATCTTCATTTATACCTGATTTAAATGATGATATCCCAGACTTTGAGCAAATGCTGTAAGGGGATGAGAATTTTGAGGGAGAAATGAGTGCATTTTGCACGTAGGAATATTGTTCATTGTTGTGGTCAGAGAGTCAACCATGGTGGGTAATCTCCAAGTATATCCACCATCAATTCCTTCTCTCCTTGAATGTATATGCCATTTGTCAAAGAAAAACTAGAACTGGACTGTAGTCACAGAAGTGAAAACAGATTTTATTCAGGACTATTGCACTAAGGGAAAAGAGACCTCAGTATGGAACCAGGTTCAATTCTGAACATGACATGGGCAAGTGGGACTCTACAGCCAAGGAACAGGGTGGGGGTCGGTGGCTGAAAATTGCCAAAAGGAAAGGTTGGGGGTAATGTAAGATTCTGGCTAAACTGATCTAGCAGGATTCTTGTTGAAGATAAGCCAGGGTGATCAGACACCACCTAGGGGATGGTAGAGGATAAGGAACTGATCAGATACTGAGGGTGATCAGATATGGAAGATGAGGGATTCTGGCTAAACCAGCTTAGCAGGATTCTCGCTAAAATTGGACAATGCAGATGTACACAAAAATCCAAAAGTCAGGCCTAGCTGAAAAGGAGTTCAGGGAAGCCTGAGGGGAGTTTGGTCAATGAGAGAACCTTTGTCACACTCCCCCATCAAGAGATGGAGTTTATTTCTCCTAGGCTGGCCTCATGACTTCTTTAGCCA